TATAATGCATATCTCTGTTAGTATATACTGTATATCTCTGTTACTATATACTGTATATCTCTGTTAGTATATACTGTATATCTCTGTTATTTATATATACATATATATACTGTATATCTGTTATATATACTGTATATCTTTGTTATTATATACTGTATATCTCTGTTACTATATACTCTATATCTCTGTTAGTATATACTGTATATCTCTGTTATTTATATATATATATAGTATATCTGTTAGTATATACTGTATATCGCTGTTAGTATATACTGTATATCTCCGTTATATATACTGTATATCTCTGTTACTATATACTGTATATCTCTGTTATATATACTGTATATCTCTGTTATGTAAACTGTACATCTCTGTTGTATACAGTACCAGTCAAAAGTTTGGACACACCTACTCATTCCAGGGTTTTGCTTTATTTTTGCCATTTTCTACATTGTAGAATAATAGTGAAGACGTCAAAACTATGAAATAACACATTTGGAATCATGAAATAACCAAAGAAGTGCTAAACAAATCAAAATATATTTTATATTTGAGATTCTTCAAAGTAGCCACCCTTTGCTTTGATGACAGCTTTGCACACTCTTGGCATTCTCTCAACCAGCTTCATGAGGTAGTCACATGGAATGCATTTCAATTAACAGGTGTGCCTTGTTAAAAGTTCATTTGTGGAATTTCTTTCCTTCTTAATGTGTTTGAGCAAATCAGTTATGTTGTGACAAGGTAGGGGTGGTATACAGAAGATAGCCTTTATTTGGTAAAAGACCAAGTCCATATTGTGGCAAGAACAGCTCAAATAAGCAAAGAGAAACGACAGCCCATCATTACTTTAAGACATGAAGGTCAGTCAAGTGCAGTCGCAAAACCCATCAAGCGCTATGATGAAACTGGCTCTCATGAGGACAGCCACAGGAAAGGAAGACCCAGAGTTATCTCTGCTGCAGAGTATAAGATCATTAGAGTTACTAGCTTCAGAAATTGCAGCCCAAATAAATGCTTCACAGAGTTCAAGTAACAGACACATCAACATCAACTGTTCAGAGGAGACTGCGTGAATCAGGCCTTCATGGTCAAATTGCTGCAAAGAAACCACTACTAAAGGACACCAATAAGAAGAAGAGACCTGCTTGGAGGAGGAGGTGTGATGGTGTGGGGGTGCTTTGCTGGTGACACTGTCTGTGATTTATGAGCAATGGACATTACACTGGTGGAAATCTGTCCTTTGGTCTGATGAGTCCAAATTTGATATTTTTGGTTCCAACCGTTCCAACCATATCTTTGTGAGACGCAGAGTAGGTGAACGGATGATCTCTGCATGTATGGTTCCCACCATGAAGCATGGAGGAGGAGGTGTGAGGGTGTGGGTGTGCTTTGCTGGTGACACTGTCTGTGATTTATTTAGAATTCAAGGCACACTTAACCAGCATGGCTACCACAGCATTCTGCAGCGGTACGCCATCCCATCTGGTTTGCGCTTAGTGGGACTATCATTTGTTTTTCAACAGGACAATGACCCAACACACCTCCAGGCTGTGTAAGGGCTATTTTACCAAGAAGGAGAGTGATGGAGTGCTGCATCAGATGACCTGGCCTCCACAATCACTTGACCTCAACCCAATTGAGATGGTTGGGATGATTTGACCGCAGAGTGAAGGAAAAGCAGCCAACAAGTGCTCAGCATATGTGGGAACTCCTTCAATACTGTTGGAAAAGCATTCCAGGTGAAGCTGGTTGAGAGAATGCCAAGAGTGTGCAAAGCTGTCATCAAGGCAAAGGGTGGCTACTTTGAAGAATCTAAAATATATTTTGATTTGTTTAACACTTTTATGGTTACTACATGATTCCATATGTGTTATTTCATAGTTTTGATGTCTTCACTATTATTCTACAATGTAGAATATAGTAAAAATAAAGAAAAACCCTTGAATGAGTAGGTGTGTCCAAACTTTTGACTGGTACTATATACCTCTGTTAGTTACTCTACTGACACCAATGTGTTCTGACACCCTCACTCCAATAACCTTCCTCTATCTTTACAAAAACATCTACATTCCCTTTTACACATCTTTGTGTCTGAAACCTTTCTGTTTCTCTTAATTTTGTTCCTTGGTAATAATACAATAGTTGTTTTGCGTTCGACTCAACAAGTGAGCTCGATCTCAACCAGTGAGAGTAAGCAGGTCTGTTCCATTACGCAACAACAACATGGGGATGTAAGATTCATTTATGTCTGAGCCAGGCAGAAACAGGCCATATGACTGTCTATCCACTTCCTGGTTCAACTGTCCACTTCCTGGTTCACCCTTGTCATAATCTATAATCTCCTCCTCTGGCAACATGAGGACACACAGTGAGCTCCAAAAGTATTGGGACAGTGATGGGGGGGGGGGTCTGTACTCCAGCACTTTGGATTTTAAATTATACAATCACTATGAGGTTAAAGTGCAATGTTTCTAAACACTTTTACATTAATGTGGATGCTACCATGATTACGGATAACCCTGAATAAATCATGAATAATGATGACTAAGAAAGTTACAGAGGCATAAATATCATACCCCCAAAAATGCTAACCTCCCCTGTTATTGTAATAGTGAGAGGTTAGCATGTGTTGGGGGTATGATATAAAATGCTAACCTCCCCTGTTATTGTAATAGTGAGAGGTTAGCATGTCTTGGGGGTATGATATAAAATGCTAACCTCCCCTGTTATTGTAATAGTGAGAGGTTAGCATGTCTTGGGGGTATGATATAAAATGCTAACCTCCCTTGTTATTGTAATGGTGAGAGGTTAGCATGTCTTGGGGGTATGATATAAAATGCTAACCTCCCCTGTTATTGTAATAGTGAGAGGTTAGCATGTCTTGGGGGTATGATATAAAATGCTAACCTCCCTTGTTATTGTAATGGTGAGAGGTTAGCATGTCTTGGGGGTATGATATAAAATGCTAACCTCCCTTGTTATTGTAATAGTGAGAGGTTAGCATGTCTTGGGGGTATGATATAAAATGCTAACCTCCCCTGTTATTGTAATATTGAGAGGTTAGCATGTCTTGGGGGTATGATATAAAATGCTAACCTCCCTTGTTATTGTAATATTGAGAGGTTAGCATGTCTTGGGGGTATGATATAAAATGCTAACCTCCCTTGTTATTGTAATAGTGAGAGGTTAGCATGTCTTGGGGGTATGATATAAAATGCTAACCTGTATCTCCTGAGTGGCGCAGTGGTCTAAGGCACTGCATCGCAGTGCTAGCTGTGCCACTAGAGATCCTGGTTCGAATCCAGGCTCTGTCGTAGCCGGCCGCGACCAGGAGACCCATGGGGCGGCGCACAATTGGCCCAGGATAAGGGAGGGAATGGCCGGCAGGGATGTAGCTCAGTTGGTAGAGCATGGCGTTTGCAATGGCAGGGTTGTGGGTTTGATTCCCACGGGTGGCCTGTATGTAAAAAAAATAATGTATGAACTCACTAACTGTAAGTTGCTCTGGATAAGAGTGTCTGCTAAATGTAAATGTCCTCCCTTGTTATGGTGAGAGGTTAGCATGTCTTGGGGGGTATGATATAAAATGCTAACCTCCCTTGTTATGATAATGCTAACCTCCCTGGGCGTATGATATTTGTGTATCTGTAACTTTTTCACTCATTATTCATGATTCATTCAGGATTATCCGTAACCATGGTAGCATCCACATTAATGTAGAAGTGTTTAGAAACATATTCTATTCTTATTTACAATAAAAGTGACTCCAAAATGATACAAATGCATTTCTATTGGGCATCAAAATAACCTGAAACACAACCAAAACAAACAGCAAATGCATCCAACACGTTTGTAGAGTCACAAGCTTGATGTAATCATTGCGTGCTAAATGTTTGACTACTTTAATACACATAAGGGACTTTGTCCCAATACTTTTGGTCCCTCTAAAATGGGGGGACTATGTACAAAAAGTGCTGTAATTTCTAAATGGTTCACTCGATATGGAGGAGAAAACCCTCCAATTAAAGCTGACAGTCTGCACATTAACCTCACAGTCATTGTATCCTTTTAAACCTGCCGGAGTGCAGAGCCAAAACAAAACAAAAAAATGTGTCACTGTCCCAATACTGTTGTAGCTCAATGTATCATGAGGTCACACGTACATGAGCCCACAAAGACTATAGACGATCTATCTAAGAGACCGTCACTTTCCTTCTTCTCATGTCAATTACCAACCTCTGTACTGTCCATGAGTCACTGAATATATTTATAACTATCAAACGTTGTACTGTCCATAGGTCACTGAATATCTTCATAACTATCAACCTCTGTACTGTCCATAGGTCACCGAATATATTTATAACTATCAACCTTAACCTGAGTCAGTATCTTCCTCTTCCTCTTCAGTGAGTTAGTATCTTCCTCTTCCTCTTCAGTGAGTTAGTATCTTCCTCTTCAGTGAGTTAGTATCTTCCTCTTCAGTGAGTTAGTATCTTCCTCTTCCTCTTCAGTGAGTTAGTATCTTCCTCTTCAGTGAGTTAGTATCTTCCTCTTCAGTGAGTTAGTATCTTCCTCTTCCTCTTCAGTGAGTTAGTATCTTCCTCTTCCTCTTCAGTGAGTTAGTATCTTCCTCTTCCTCTTCAGTGAGTTAGTATCTTCCTCTTCCTCTTCAGTGAGTTAGTATCTTCCTCTTCCTCTTCAGTGAGTTAGTATCTTCCTCTTCCTCTTCAGTGAGTTAGTATCTTCCTCTTCCTCTTCAGTGAGTTAGTATCTTCCTCTTCCTCGCTACCTGAATGTGAATCTGTGAGGGAACCGGAGGCGGAAGTAACACAGCCTGAGCAAGTACCGCCTCCTCCTCCTGCTTCTCCCAGAGCGCTGGCGGCCATATTGGATGACCTGGGCGTGGCCCCTCTTAAACCTGTAGTTGTCCTGGTCTGATGACCTCAGTCTGACGAGCGGTGTCCCCTGGTGTCTGGGAGGGTTGTTGCGTCTCCTGACACTCACACCACCGTGCTGATGCGGTTGATAGGCTTGGACTTGGAGCTGCTGGTGCTCCCCGTGCCCGTGCTGCTGGCGCTGCCCCCGCCAGACCCCTGGAGCTGGGGCGGCTGGCCGGGCTGCTGCTGGAGGGGGTGGGTGTAGGGGGAGAGAGGGGGGGGTAAAGGGGAGTGCAGAGGGGGAGGGGGTATGGAGGAGAGCGGGAGGTACTGGGTGTGGCTGTGGGCGGCGGCCTGCGGGATGTGACGGGCGGTAGGGGTCTGTGGGGGCGGGATGCCAAAGATAAAGTGAGTCTGGTGCTGAGGGTGCTGGGCGGTAAGAGGGCTGGGGGACAGGCCGGGGTGGGGGCTGTGGTTGTGGGAATGAGCGGTAAGATGAGGGACGTGGGTGTGGGCGTGAGGGTGGGGCTGAGGGTGCTGGGCGGTAATAGGGCTGGGGGACAGGCCGGGGTGGGGGTTGTGGTTGTGGGAATGAGCGGTAAGATGAGGGACGTGGGTGTGGGCGTGAGGGTGGGGCTGCGAGCGCGAGAGAGTAAGAGGGAGCTTGGCGCCGCCGCCTCCTCCTCCTCCTCCTCCTCCTCCTCCTCCCCGACCGTGTGTGTGGTAGAGGGCTGGGGGCACCGGGGAGAGAGGGGAATGTGGAGAAAGGGGCGGAGCGGGGCATCCTACCCCCATAGAACCCCCCATGTTGGTATAGCGCCCCCCCTGACCCTGTACACCATGCGGCTGCAGCTGGGCCAGCAGAGGCTCGGAGAGCTGCTGGAGCTGGGGGTGGGAGGGAACGGGACCGGGGCCCGGCCGCTTGGGGTCCCCCACCATGGGGCCCCTGTGGATGGTATGAGGCCCAGGGGCCCCCTGGGCGGTGGAGGAGGGCTGGCTGGGAGCGGGCCCTGTCTGGGCGTGGTAGTGGTGGTGGTGGTGGTAGGGTGGAGGAGGCTGCTGCCCCGCGATACTGTTGTGGCAGTACTGGGCGTGCAGGGCCTGGATCTTGGAGGGCCCTCCTGGGTCGGAGTGGCTGAGGGCGGAGGGGGAGTGTGGGGGCGGGCCGCCGGTGGTGGGCGGGGGGACAGGTGCAGGGTAGTGTGGCAGCCCAGGTGGGAGGAGAGGGGTGAGAGGACCAGGGGGCTTGGTGCTGGAGCGCTTGCTCCCGAACAGGGAACCCAGGAAGGATCCTCCACTGCCCCCTCCCCCTCCAGACCCGCTCCCCTGGGATCCAGTCCCCCCTCGGTCTCCACTGCTGGGACCCAGTGCCGTCGTCCCAGTAGCGGTGTGGTGATTTAGCCCCGGCCCACCCCCCACCCCCGTCCCGGGGCTCAGGATGGGGTGATGAGGCCGGTAGTAGCCGGGTGGCATTATACCTTCAGCCATGTGGGGGCGCTGGTGAGGCCGGGGACTGCTAATGATGGAGCCCTGGCGAGAGAGGGATAGGAGGAGAGTGTAGAGAGATGAGGAGAGAAAGAGAGGAGGGGGAGAGAGAGAGAGAGAGAGAGAGGGAGGTGGAGGAAGAGGAGGAAAACAGAGAGAGAGAGGGGAGAGGAGAGAGAGGATGACGAAGGGGAGAGGGAAGAGGAGCGAGAGGGGAGGTGGGAGAGAGGAGAGAGAAGAAGAAACAGAGAGAAACAGAGGGGAGGAGGGCGAGAGGATAGGAGGGAGAGAAGGGGAGCGGGAGGGGAGAGAAGAGAGAGGAGAGAGAGAAAGAGAGAGGAGAGGAGGGAGAGAGGAGGGGAGGGGAGAGAGAGGAAACAGAGGGGAGGAAGGAGAGAGAGGAGAGCGAGGAGGAGGGAGAGAGGAGAGAGAGGAGAGGAGAGAGCGAAGGGCAACAGAGCGGAGGAGGGAGAGAGGATGGGGGAAGAGAGTAGAGAGAGGGGAGAGGAGGGAGAGAAGAGAGAGGAGGAAAGAAGGGGGAGAAGAGAGAGGAGAAAGGGAAGGGAGGGGAGGGGGAGAGAGGAGAGAGAGAGAGAGAGGAAAAGAGGGGAAAGGAAAGGAGAAAGAGGAGAGAAGGAGGAAAAGGAGGGAGAGGAGGAGAGAGGAGGAGGAGAGGGGAGAAAAGGCGGAGGAGGAGAGAGGAGATGGGAGAGAGGAGAGAGAAGGGGAGGGGGTAGTGAGAGAGGAGGAAAAAAGAGGGGAGGAGGGAGAGAGGAGAGAGGAAACAGAGGGGAAGAGGGAGAGAAGAGAAGAGGAGACAGAGGAGTAGAGGAGAGGAGGGGAGGGGAGGAGAGGAGAGGACAGAGGGGAGGAGGGAGAGAGGGAGAGAGAGGGGGAAAGAGGGGAGGAGGGGAGAGAAGAGAGAGGGAAAGAGGGGGGGAGGGAGAGAGGAGAAGAGAGGAGAAAGAGGGGAGGAGGGGGAGGAGAGGGAGAGAGAGGAGAAAGAAGGGAGGAGGGAGAGGGGGGGGAAAGGGAAAAGGGTAGGAGAGGGAGAGGGGAGAGAAGGGGGGGGGGAGGGAGAGAAGAGAGGAGAAAGGAGTCAGATGGGAGGAGGGAAGAGAGGAGAGATGGGAAGAAGGGGGAGGAGAGAGAGGAGAGAGAGGGAGAGGAGGGAGAGACAACAGGGGAGAGGAGAGAGGGAGGTGAGAAAAGAGAGAGGAGAGGAGGGAGGGGGCAATAAAAGGAGAGGAATGGAGTAGAGAGAGGTGGAGAGAGAGGGGAGGAGGGAAAGAGGAAGAGGCAAGGAGGAAGAAGAGGAGAGGAGAGGAGAGGAGAGGAGAGGAGAGGAGAGGAGAGGAGAGGAGAGGAGAGGAGGGAGAGGAGAGGAGAGGAAAGAGGAAGGTAGAGGAGATTGGAGAGAGGGAGAGGGAGGAGAGGAGCGGGGGATGGAGGAGAGAGGAGAGGGGGGGGGAGGAGGGAGAGGAGGAGAGGAGAGGATGAGAGAGGGGGGAGAGGAGAGGGGAGACGCAGAGAGAGGAGAGAGAGGAGAGGAGGGAGAGGGAGGAGAGAGAGGAGAGGAGAGGAGAGGAGAGGAGAGGAGAGGAGAGGAGAGGGGAGACGCGAGAGAGGAGAGGAGAGGAGAGGAGAGGAGAGGAGAGGAGAGGAGAGGAGAGGAGAGAGAGGAGAGGAAGAGGAGAGGAGAGGAGAGGAGAGGAGAGGAGAGGAGAGGAGAGGGAGGGAGGAGAGAGGAGAGGGAGGGGAGGAGGGAGAGAGGAGAGGCAGGAGAGAGAGAGGAGAGGAGGGAGAGGAGAGAGAGGAGAGGGAGGAGAGAGGAGAGGAGAGGAGAGGAGAGAGAGGAGAGGAGAGAGAGCAGACAGAGGTGAGGAGGGAGAGAGGAGAGGAGGGAGAGAGAGGAGAAGGGGGAGAGAGAGGAGAGAGGGTAGAGAGAGAGGAGACGTGTGGGGGAGAGGAGAGAGAGGAAACAGAGTGGAGGAGTGAGAGAGGAGAGGACAGGAAACAGAGAGGAGAGAGGAGAGGAGGCAGAGCAGAGTGAGGAAGGTTAGGAAAGAGGGGATTAGTGTCAGTAAAGTGCTGTTTTTATTGCATCATTATGTGGACAGAACACAGGCACCCGTAGACACTGACCACAGCTGTTAAATGACACAATCCTATCAGCAACTGGTGAGGCAAACACATGCATGTAAGGCCATTTCAATCCACAACGATATCAACCAGTAGTTAATAGTACCATGCAGGGTATTGTGAACATCCAGAAGCGTCATGCCATATTGCAGTGGTTGTTTGATTGGGGAGGACATGCCAGGAGACGTTAGCTTAGGGAGGAGAGCAGCATTTACAACATTTACTTCCATAGTACTGTCCAGAGAGCCAGCACTGATCCCCCCACCCCCCTCCCCCCCCCCCTATATACAGACATCCCAGACTTACTTCCATAGTATGTCCAGGACAAGCACTGTCCACCACCCCCTCCCCCTCTATACCAGACATCCAGACTTACTTCCATAGTACTGTCCAGAGAGCCAGCACTGTCCCCCACCCCCTCCCCCCTCTATACCAGACATCCAGACTTACTTCCATAGTACTGTCCAGGGAGCCAGCACTGTCCCCCACCCCCTCCCCCCTCTATACCAGACATCCAGACTTACTTCCATAGTACTGTCCAGGGAGCCAGCACTGTCCCCCACCCCCTCCCCCCTCTATACCAGACATCCAGACTTACTTCCATAGTACTGTCCAGAGAGCCAACACTGTCCCCCACCCCCTCCCCCCTCTATACCAGACATCCAGACTTACTTCCAGAGTACTGTCCAGGGAGCCAGCACTGTTCCGGCGGCCCCGCTTTCCTGCACCCAGCAAGGAATAAGAAAAGTCATATTTTGTGGTATCATGTTGACGGCATTGTTGTTGCTGTGTCAGTAAACACAGAGATGAGATTCTAATGTGGATTATTTCTCTCTCAACTACAGTTCTCCTGTTGGACAGACAGCAGGTGGATACAGAGCACCATAAAATCTATCATAAAATAAAGTCATAAAATCTGATTTTAAACCTTAACCCTAACCATAACTACACTGCTAACCCTAATGCCTAACCTTGAATTGATTTTTGTTTGAATGAATTTTTACAATATAGTCAGTCTGTCAGGTCTGTACAATAGTCAGAAATAGATTACACGAAGATAAGCCTACTTTTGCATGTTTCACTGATATCCAGAAAGCTTTTGATTTAAAAAAAAAGAAGGGATATTTTAGCCTATAGTTTGTTAAAGACGGGTTGATGGGTCATTTAATCACCCAATCCAGTCTCTATACAAAGTTCCAACTCTCTGTGTGTTAATGAATATCGTACAGATGTGTTTCCCACACCCTCGGGTGTAAAACAAGGAGTCGCCTTTTATCACCGACTTTGTTTGCTATGTTTATAAATTATTTGGCAAAATAAATAAACAGTTAAATATTGGAGTAAGATTTGATGATGAAACGCTAAGTATCCTTTTATATGCCGATGATATTATTTCGATGACAGAAGCTGAACAAGACCTGCAGAACACGTTTTTATGTGCAGTCAATTGGTGTAAAAGACGGAGACTCATGATCAACCAGACAAAAACACAGATAATGCATTTTAGAAAACCAGGTACTAAGAAAAGAGTTCTTCCGTTTTGGTGAAGACATTCTGGAGATAAATATTTGGGTATATTTACTGATGAACACATGACCTTTCTATACGGAACATCTTCCCGACTCAGCAAGTAACGCTCTTAGGGGGAGTTATAGGAAAAACTAAAACCCTCAAAATATATTGGATATGCTACGTATTCCAAACTGTATCAGAAACGCGTGTGTCCTGTTCTGGACTATTCTGCAGGACTGTGGGGTGCTAAGAGGTGTCCCAAAAACGAACATGTCCATAACAGTACGTTACTTTTTAGGCGTCCAGAAGTTTGCACCTATCTTTGCAATAACTGGGGACACGGGCTGGGAACCCTGGGAGGTGAGATGGAAGGTGTGTATGGTGAAAACTTTGGAATAGACTGTTGGATATGCCAACTGCCAGAATAGACTGTTGGATATGCCAACTGCCAGGAATGGACTGTTGGATATGCCAAACTGCCAGAATAGACTGTTGGATATGCCAACTGCCAGAATAGACTGTGGATATGCCAACTGCCAGAATAGACTGGGATATGCAACTGCCAGAATAGACTGTTGGAATGCCAACTGCCAGAATAGACTGTTGGATATGCCAAACTGCCAGAATAGACTGTTGGATATGCCAACTGCCAGAATAGACTGTTGGATATGCCAACTGCCAGAATAGACTGTTGGATATGCCAACTGCCAGAATAGACTGTTGGATATGCCAACTGCCAGAATAGACTGTTGGATATGCCAACTGCCAGAATAGACTGTTGGATATGCCAACTGCCAGAATAGACTGTTGGATATGCCAACTGCCAGAATAGACTGTTGGATATGCCAACTGCCAGAATAGACTGTTGGATATGCCAACTGCCAGCAGATAGACTGTTGGATATGCCAAACTGCCAGAATAGACTGTTGGATATGCCAACTGTTGGATATGCCAACTGCCAAATAGACTGTTGGATATGCCAACTGCCAGAATAGACTGTTGGATATGCCAACTGCCAGAATAGACTGTTGGATATGCCAACTGCCAGAATAGACTGTTGGATATGCTAACTGCCAGAATAGACTGTTGGATATGCCAACTGCCAGAATAGACTGTTGGATATGCCAACTGCCAGAATAGACTGTTGGATATGCCAACTGCCAGAATAGACTGTTGGATATGCCAACTGCCAGAATAGACTGTTGGATATTCCAACTGCCAGAACAGACTGTTGGATATGCCAACTGCCAGAATAGAATGTTGGATAGGCCAACTGCCAGAATAGACTGTTGGATAGGCCAACTGCCAGAATAGCCAGTAAAGTTTTTCAATGGGATCTATCCATAGGG